AGGTGTGGCAATACTTCAAGTTTAGGCCAGCTTTATTTGGATTACTATAGATTAGATTAGGGATTAGATTTCGCCGAGCCTTAAACCCGAAGTATCAAATCGGGTTTTCGGCCGCACTAAACATATTATTATACTTTGAATAACGCGATCAACTTAAACCCCCCTTAAATTGAGGCCCCGGCGCTGTGAGTGCTGGAGCTACCCAACCCCAACGGGAACGCCCTCTAAGATAATGTATCGCTGCCTGCTAATTAGAACGATTGATGCATGATTACATAATTTACATTGCTTTTTTCCTCCCATGTTGCTCCCGTGGGGACCCGCGATGTATCATTCGAATGCTGTTTTACATCCACATTTTCACAATATCTTTCGCACGTAGCGCAGCCATTCTGTCAGTTCGCCCGGCGGGTATCAATCATTGCCTGCTGTCAGTGCTGTGCTCTGTTGGGCCTTGATGCCAGCGGTGTCCTTAATGTCCCCGCACTGAACAAGGAGGAGCATATCATGCTTAGATATCCTCAATTTGCTGCGACATTGAAGTTGCTGGACGCACAATGAGATTTGAGGATGCGAAGGAGGATCTGAGGGTTCCATAAGCGCTGGAATTAATAACTCGGGAACAACGGGCCACGGCACCATGCCAACCAACAAATGTCTGAATCATCAGCGGGAAAATGTTGCCCTGCTGGCGCGTCCAGAAATGGGAGTGAGCTATAATTTTATCCCGACTCTTCTTCTTCCTCCCCCCACCAAATGTCCCTCCCGATTGTCCCTGCGCTGAGTGCGGCATTCACCGTCTTGAGCTTTATCGTCTCCAGGATCCAGGCACTGGAGGCTAGCAGGGGGCAACTCAATGTTCTCTCGACTTCCACGGAACAGCTCTTGACAACACTGAACAAAGAATTCAGTGAACTCCGTCTTATTCCTGCCAAATGTGTCAAACCTCTGGCGGACTTGGAAGCGTGCGTGCGCCGAGACATGATGTACTGGATGCTTGTTTAACATGGGCAATACAGATTACTTCGAGATATCCATCGCTTCGCGGACAACGAGAAGGAATCAGGATTTTTGAAGATGCTCTTCCAAAGGGATGGGCGGGTTTCCAAGATCGAAGCGTTTCAGAGGCGAATCGGAATGTGCATCAACGCATTTGAGGTGCTTTCATTCATGCGGGCTGGATGATGATTTGTGGGCTGACATCGGGGGTAGATCTCCTCACTCTTGAATATTCAGACCATGTTAGCCGAGAGTAAGAGGGCGCGAATTCGGGACGCAGAAGTGTTACATGGCTATCTGAACACATTAGAGCAAAACAACGCAAAGTTGCTCCAGAAACTTGGTCAGCAATGCCAAACCAACTGTTCAAGTACTAACGACCTGAAACGGGATTGCGTCAGAAATTAACCAGAACAATACTGTCGCGATGATGGTTTCGATACAGAAGCAGCTAAATCACCATAATGTTGACCGCGCCGAGCAGACCTTTTACACGCACACACTGGAATATCTCACATCAACGAGCGGACAAAATGTTGAGGTGGAGGATTGGATGATCTCCTCTTTTGAAGTGGATTATGGGCCCGAAATCGGTAAAGGAGGATTGTGAGCAGAACAATATACGCCTTTACATTGCCCTTATCCTGACCAGTGGAACGGTCTACCGGGGTACTTGGAACCGGACTGAGGTGGCCATAAAGGTCTTGCAAAATCAAGCAGGGATCACACCCAGCCTGCCAGTAAGACGCTACGCACGAAGTTATTCCCGTCCTGATCTCTCTCCTCATAGTCACTGCGGAATGAAATAGATGTCAGTGAACCAGTTCAGCGATGAATCAGGCATTTTGATGAGCTGTGGTGGCTAGATTTGGTCGACATTGCGACATCCCAATATTCTCCAGTTCCTGGGTGCAAACACATTGGATGATAAACCATTCATTGTCATGCCTTACATACCACACAATGCGCGCGAGTTCCTTAGACTTCAACCCAGCTTTGATCCGTTGCACATTGTGCGTAATAGATGCACTCCCTTCCCCACCGACCCAGTCTCACTGGTTTAATTTGATAGCTGCGAGATATCTCCCTCGGGTTGGAATGCCTACACTCCCGCAGGATTTGTCACGGGGATCTCAAAGCTGTATGTGCAGTCTCGTCATGCATGACCTTAAACTGACTATCATACTCAAATGGTACTAGATAAATGTGCTTGTTGAGAATTCGGGAAAGGCCTTGCTGTGCGATTTCGGCCTAGCTCGTCTGAAGGCTGATGCTGCCACACGGACTTTTGTTCATGTGGATGGCCCTCAAATCGTGGGGAGCCGCAATTGGATGGCTCCAGAAATCTTGACGGGTTCACGGTATCGAGTAACGGCCGATGTATATGCCTTTGGAATGACCTTGTATGAGGTCAGCAACTGGCCTCGATTATTCCAACCCCCCCGCATGCTCAATTATCCCTTCACAGCTATACACGGATGAGACTCCGTTGTTCACTGTCCCATATGCAGAGCTCGTTGATCTTGTCGTCCATCGTGGAGTAAGACCCGAGCGGCCGGACCCTGGGGAGGGCCGGGCAATGCAGGACGAGCTCTGGGAATTAGCGGAACAATGCTGGGTTAGAGACCCCCTTCAACGGCCTACCGCCACCCAACTCCATGACACAGTCACGCAAATGATTCTCCCTTTACCGCAACCCCGCACTTCGCCAATGAACCCAGAACAAGTAGAATCGCGTTTGATATGGGCCCCGGACGTCAATTTGGATGCAGCGCTGGTCACTGGGGATTACATAGATTCTTTAACCCCCGACCTTGACTGCAATCTGGACTCCGAGGGTTTCTGTCGTTTGGCGAGACAACAACGGAATATACTGATTTCCAACCACACATTATTGGGGATCGATCATTGGGACACGCTCAGCGCCATGCTGGATCTAGCTTCCACATACTTTCGTCTGGGGGTCCATAAAGATGCGGAAGAACTTCAAATTCAGGTGGTTGATAGATGCAGCAAGAGTTTGGGAGCAACGCACGAGCGTACTCTAACGGCGAAGTACAACCTTGCAGCCACCCATCGAAAATTTGGACGCCCAATGGAAGCATTGGTACTGGGGTCAGAGGTTGAACAATGCCGGCGGCGTGTACTGGGAGACACAGATCTACACACGCTGCGCGCCCAGTACAGCCTAGCTCTGACATACTATCGTTTAGGGCGGTACAAAGAAGCAGAGGAACTTCAGCTAAATGTGGTGAAACAGCGGAAAAAGATTCTTGGAAAGAAGCACCACGACACCCTGACCGCAATGGAGTGTTTAGCAGCTAGTTGGTGCCATAAGCGGGAAAACTTTCGCAGGGCGGCAGACCTTACATCGAAGGTCGTTGGACGGAGGAAGGTCGCTCTAGGAAAGGCGCATCCGTATACACTGGCCGCAATGGAGCGCCTCATGCTGCTCCTTTTGCCCAAGTAGATGCCAGTTCCCTCTTCCTGTTACGAGTCTAAAATGGCAATTTTAACTTGTTATTTCCCCACGGTTTCTCCGCCATCGGACCTGTATTTTCTGAAATGACATAGTTTGTTTTTTAGTACGAAAAGCTTTTCGTATGGGAACCAACTACTTATAAGGTGATTTGGTAGCTGCTTATCTGGATACATTTAATATTAGTCTCTCTTCACAAACAGCAACACTCGTAACCTTGTTCTACAGTCTGTTAGTTACCGCGGTCTGATTACCGTTAAGGTCGGCTGATCAAAATTTGATGATGATGCTTGCGCACAGAGACACGTCTTTGACGCGCCAGAACCGTCTGAAAATTGAGTGCATTGCTTCAGTGTACAGTAGTGCAATAGCCTCTTTCGGGATCTCCCATTTTTTCGGCCCCTCCGTCTCCATTCTGTTCGAACCAGGGCTTGACCAGGGCTGGGTCATTCGAATATGGGATACAAGATTTTTCCCCCGTTTCACAGGCCGAGGACAGGACCGTGCTATTTTGTTTTGGAATTTGTACATGCCTGCCCGGGGTCTCAGTTAACTTTATGTCCCTCGCGAAAATCCATAACTTTCAACTATGTGCGATAATAACTGAAAATCGGTTGTGATATACTTGTAATACCTCCACAGTTGCTAGCCAGCCAAGAGGAGAAAAGACTCAGCAGCGAAGTGAATCACACCCGCCGCTCCTAGGCTAAGCGGGTCCAGGGTGCTGTATTGGGGGAGTTCCCTGTTCGAACCAGGGCTGGGTCATTTGAATGTAGGATATGCAATTTTGCTCCCCACAGGCCGAGGACACGACAGTGCTATTTTCTTCTCAATATGTACATGCCGACCCGGAGTCCAGGACTACTTCCTGCCGGAATTCATCAATGACTTTTAACTACGTGCAATATCTGAAAGTCAGTTGTAATACCTCCAGAGTTGCCAGGCAAGAGGAGAATTAAATTGCACAGAAAAGACCGAGTAGTGAAATGGATCACACCCGCTGGACCTCATTTTTTCCCAGTGTCGTATTGCCCGAGTCCCTTGTTCGAACCAGCTGGGTCTTACGATGCGGGGATTTGTCAATCCTTTTTCTCCAGCTTCAGGCCGAGGACGCGACCATGCCATTTCTTCTGATTAGTATGTATGGACACATGCCGGCCCGGGGTCCATTACTACTTCTTGCTGAAACCCCTACCAACTTTCAACCCTGTGCAATAACTGAAAGTCGGTTGGACCTACAGAGTTGCCAGTCAGCCAAGAGGAGAATTCAAACTCTACAGAAAAACCCAGTAGTGAAATGGATCACACCCGCAGCACCTGCATCTTCCAGAGCTGTATTGCGGGAGTCCCCTGTTCGAACCAGGGCTGGGTCTTCTGAAGACATCCACGGAAGTTCCTCTTTTGCTCCACGGTGCGTGGATTTTCGACTTGGTCGGACTTGCATTGTGCATGATTGCTACGCCAGACCCTATTGTGGGTGTGTTGCCATGTCAGTCAGAGGGAAATTAAGATATGTAGGGAAGACTCGGTGGTGAAATAAATCACACCCGCCACGCATATATCTGAGAGTGCCGAGCTAAACCGCGGGAGTTCCCTGTTCGAACCAGGGCTGAGTCTTTATGACGGTTTGCGATCCATCTTTTGCTCCACGATCAGAAAAGGACGAAGGGGTTACTCTTATGATACAGCAACTAACCTTATTTCCACTGGGGGAGGTTAAAATCTATTCACGACAGACTGTGTGCATTACTTAAATTTCGAGTCGCACTTGCATTTTACGCGCGTCGTCGTTGAAGCACGCTGGAAGATCTCAAAACTCCCTATGCGGCGGTTGGCGGTGGACGAAAGTTGTGCTGCGTCTATGTCGAGCTCACCCAGATGCCGTTTCTTGAACACGAGGTTGAACAAGCCGATGCCGAGACCGGCGCGCAGCCGAAGATCGATCAATCAATCATCAATCGGCAACGGTAAGTATCAGCGCCACCCATCATGAGAGTGAACCACCATGCTCGATTCGCCGAACGCGTCCCCCTCGTTTCAGCGCGGTTCGATTCAAGCTGAAGATCGAATACAGTGAATAACCACCCTAGCCTCCGGGAAATGGCTCGAAGGAAGAGCATAACGCGTGCTAGCATCTACATATCCTTTGCTGACCCCTGCCCTGCGACTCCAGATCGCCATTCAAGTTCCCACACCCCGCTCAAGCCAAGCCCGGACGGCATATCTCTGCCCCAGGTGCGTCATACCTATGGTCCTGATAGCGTTCTCATTTGACTTGCCACAGCTCGCAAGAGCTCGTTGCGCGCACCGCCGAACACGACAACCCAAGGATACGAATTGGATTACTTGTAAATCTGGGTGCTCCCGACTCCGACTCGGGTGCGTTCTGCAGTCGTTCTGCGGTGTTGCCTTCGGCGTTCTCATACAGCGATCGCTATAGCCAGCCGTGTCGGCTTTTTTGTTGCTTGGGACGAACACGCCGATGGAATCTCACCGCGAACGAATTCGCGTCCGCACTTTTGGGACGAGACTGGGTGCGTTGTATGCTGGCTCCATGCATATTGCATTCTAACTCTCGTCGCCTCAGCCGCCGCCGTTATTCTGGTGGACCCAGCGAGATTGGGGTGCTTGATACGTCCGCTCGCTCGCATCCCTTGTGAACGCAGCCTATAGCTACGCGCTTTTCCGGCTGCCTGCTTTTCGCCATTCGACATTCTACTCGCGTAGGACCCCGCCCATCGTGCTTGATAGCGGCCCGCACCGTACGCCGTACGCGTCCTCCGCGCGTTCCGCCCTCCACCGCCGCCCCCTTCGATCCGTGACACGGACAGGCTCCACGCGCGCCCTGTTGGCTCTAGTTCGGCTCGAGCGCATACGCCGAGGCCCATCGCAATATCGCCCACCCCGCCCGCACGACACTTCTTTCTACACATCCTACGAATCGATTCCGAATACCCGGATTTCGCCCCAGCGCCGCGACCTCCACGGGCGTCGTGCATGACCCAGGCTCAGCGCGACCTCCATCGAAACCAAGATCAATAGGGGGTGGGAGTTGCAGCGAATCGCCCACACAAACACACTTGACCACACTCCACGAATTCATCCCGCACGAATACCCAGTCCCAGTCCCAGCACGGCGGTGCGGCCCCATGCGTCTATCCACGTCCACACAGCGTCCGAGTCGTATTGTATTCCCACACGCGACGCCTTCCTCTGCTTAGCGGTGTGATCTCCACGCCTCCCCGTAGGCTGTACCAGCGTCATCCTGCGCGATACGCGATACGACGGCGTGTCGACCCACGAGTTGCGTCGCGCTGCCAATCACCCCGCGCGCGCACACGTTTCGTCGGCTCGTAATAGGGCGGCGTCCCCGACTTGGGCTTTCGTTGTCAAAAGGGGAGATATTCCGGGGCTGCTGAGGTTCTCGTGCTGGTGCCCGTGGTGCGTACCCAGCGCTCTTACCAAGCTGCCTCGCTTAATTATAATTGTCTTCAGCAGGAGAAGATCGGCCAGCGCGTTCCGATGGGATCTTCGCGTGTAGTACGAATGAAATGCTAGCACACCGCGCCTTCTGCACCAGGCAATATATCGACTCCAGCGTTCGGACGACCTCTTTCTTCGCCCGGATGGCTCATCGCCGTTCCCCATCATTACCTGCCCGACCACTGGCTGCCCGCTGACGGCTTCTATCCGTATGCGCACTTCCGCCCAATTTCCCCACCCTCGAACGACGCGGGCTCATCGGCGCGGCCGGGAACCCCTGCGTGCCCACCTATCCCGATCCTCTCCACGCCACGTCCTTCTCTGTCTTTGGCCCAATCTTCGTCGCCAGTCATTGTCGCTCGGCTTAGGGTTGGGATACCGTTTGGGACTCGCTCCTACCACCCTCTTGTGCTCGCTCCCGCTTCGAACTACGCATTCGGTGTCAGTCGATTCTGGCTGGTCGACGAACTACCATCGCGCAGCGCGGATTCCTGGCCTCCAAGCGCGGCCCCCGTCACGGGCTGCCGCTCCATCATCCTCCCGCGCGAGTTGGGCTCCTGCGCCACGGTGTCGCTCTCGTCCTTCCGCGCGGCCCACTGAATTCAAAAGAGACCGCGATACCTTTCAAGTCGCCTACGCCTACATGCTCGCGGTCTCGACCGTCCGGATGCGATCACGCATCCTTGAACCTTATACTCTCACCCATTTCGTGTGTTTTTTATGGAGTCAATGCATCCAGATTCCAGAGACACCTCACCTTTGTGGATCCACCGGGGACATTGGCGGTCAATGCCACAAGGTTCAAGTGACTGACACAACAGCATGTGTATAGCCTCCTGAGCAGACCCGAATCCTGCTTCAGGTCTCTTAGTCTCTGACTTGACATTCGGGTACATTTCCACTGAAAAATTGCATCACGTCAAAATTCATGATTCATCCACGTACTCGGAGAAACATTTCATCATATGAATAACATATCCCACCGCTTTCCCCACTTCCTCGGCGGAAATTCCAGCGTCGGAGTATAGTGTTTCTATGCCCTTTGGGTTCCCAGTTTCTTGACTCGATTTCTGGTGTACCTTGAATATGTCAGCGAGGGTAGCGCAAACATCACGGTGTGGAGTTTTTCCGCCCTTCCAGCTGTCTTTCTGGCAAATTTTGGAGCAAAAGCGACTGGCCTTGCAATTGGAGCAAGCCGGCATTCTATCCCCACGCTTAACTTTCAGCTTAAAGCCAACAGTAAAGTCTTTGGGAGAGTCACTCTCCCCTGTGACACAGTGGCGTGCGGGATTGCTGCAAAGATTGGTGACACTAAAATATGTGTCAAACAGTGTCCACCCATTGGGCGCCATGGGTGCTTGGTCCAATATAGCGGTGATTAAGTGCGATAGTGGCCCGGACGCCGGATTGAGCAACTTGTACAGATGAGCGCCAAAGTGGGCCAATCGAAACATATCATGCATAGTTCCATCTTGAATATCTGGCCGGGTCCTCGATGACATTAAAAGTAGGCAACAAATATCATCATACCGCTCCTGCGCACCGGCCTCGAAGCAAGCACGGAATCGGGAGAAGGAGGATGTTGTGGACATTGTCCTCTGAATGACAAGGCCCATACATCCAGCGCCGTGGAATATGAGATCAAGACAGCTCCAGGGACGAGCAGGATGTGCAGCTGCGTCGGAGATATATTCTGCTGTAACAAGTGCATGGAAGCGCTCGTCGAAAGCTCTCCGCACTGCGCCTGATTGCTCCATGGCAGCTACCAGTTTTGGAGACATCTCCAGAAGTGTGCCGAAGAGCGCGAAAGTGTATACTTTTTGCGTCTTCTGCAACCAATAAGCGAAGGAGCAAATGAGCGCGGTGGAATTTTTGTCGAGGAAGTTTGAAATTTTGCGGCGCCAGGCACGGACACCTGGATTTTGATGTGCGCCCATGGACGACGAAAGGAGACGATCCGAAAACTCGGACAGAACATCAATGAAAGAGGGTAGATCCACGACCGGCTCGCCTTCGCCCTCACTGATCCTAGTGTGCACTTCTGAGATGGCATCAGGGGCTGCATGGAAGGACCGACGAAGGTAGGGAAACAATGTAGTGCAGCGACAAGGACGATTGAATAGACAGTTTTCCAGGAGTGTGTAGATGGCGGGGTCCTCCATCTGCATCGCATAGAAAGTAATGAGGGCTGTGACGACGTCCTGAAGAACAGGATCGGCCGACTCGTGAGCCCTGGCAAAGTGGCCAGTACATTCTGCCATGGATGCGAGGAAAGTGTGATGGCAGTATGGACTTTGCAATGGATTCAGGAGCGATTTGAAAACTGGCGCGACGTGAGGACTGAAGGCCGGTGGTATGGCACCCGTGGTAGCTTGCATCGGAATCTGTCGGCCGTATAATGTGAAATGGTGCCGTCGACAAAACATACATCGACGTACGTTGACGAACAGCCAAGAACTATTGCACCAGGAGGAGCGTACGTGGACCAGTGTCGGTGGTGGGAGCGATGAGACAGCAGCTCTTTAACGGCGATCAGGTATCTGTCCCATGCGGACATAAGGTCAGGTGTTTGATGGCAGTGTGGGCAAGTGGGAGGAAGAAGGTACGCGGGTGCCAAAATTAGGTTCGGCTGCCTTCCTAAAAGACCCTTGTTTATTGCTTGGTAGGTTGGATACCGACTTTGGCTTGCGGCTGCCCCAGTTTTATCCGAATTTTGCCTCCAGCGGGCATCAGGTCAATTTTTCTCCGAACTTTGCATCTGAGCTAATTTCAGGTAAAAAGTGTTCAGAAAACTCGCACAGAACAGCAATGAAGAAGGAGCGTAGATCCACAACCGGCTCACGCCCGGAAATATTATCTGATTTGTTTCCTTCAGTGGCATCTGAGCTCAAATTTCTTTCTATAATGATTTAAACTCAGTCGGCAGAATACACTAGTGTGGAAGAACTCTGACCTGGCAAAAATTATCCTATATCATTTATTGGCCATATATTTACTGAAGCCCCCTCAGCTATCCGGCAGTGACCCCGCGTCCATAAGTAGCCCACTTCATGTGTTTAGTAGTGATTCTGTTTTCAATGTGAGTGGCCCAAATTTAAATTTGTCTGTCAGAATACGGTCGCACCTTATTGCTGAATTTATCCAGAAGGAAAATAACCTGGGAGCGAAAGAAATCACACTTGCAAACCTTCATCCAACAGAATTACAGGGTACATTGCAGGAGTTCCTTGTCCAAACCAAAGGCAAGTGACATGACTGTTGTTCACTCTTTTTACCTCGACTGAGGGAGCCTCTTTGAAACGATCAATAATGCACTTTCAGTTACATGTAAGTCCAGTTGAGCTTGATGAACATACGAACAGGGGAAATAAGACGCAGTAGTGAACTGAATCACACCCGCAGCACCTGCGTGGTTGCGTCGTTGTTGTACTGCGGGAGTCCCCTGTTCGAACCAGGGCTGGGTCATTACTTTGTAGTCTCAAAAAAAAAATTCCCGCTTCAGGCCGAGGATACCATGCAATTTTGTTCTGGAATTTGTACATGCCGGCCCGGGGTCTCAGTTATTTTCATGCCAAAATCCATCCCATGACTTTCAACCATCAATACATAATACTGAGTTGCGCGGTTAATACACTCCCTCCCTCCTCCCTGCCAGCCAAGAGGCGAATCAAACTGTACAGAAAAGACCCAGTAGTGAACTGAATCAAACCCGCAGCACCTGTGGAAAATGTTTGACGTGTTGTATTGCGGGAGTGCCGTGTTCGAAGCAGGGCTGGGTCGTTACTCCGAGCCGGATCTCCCTCCTTTTCTGTTTTCTGTCTTTCTTCAGAAAGCTGGGGGTGCAATTTCACATATAACACTTCAATCCCTGCGGCACACACCTCCCACCTCTTACAAAAAACAAAAAAACAAAACACTCGGGAGCCATGGCCATGTGCGGAGCTCAACAATTCTGCAACCAGGTGAAGATCAGATAGAGCTCGAGAAGACTCAGTGGTGAAATGAATCACACCCACATGACCTCAGACTGCGACGAATGATGTCTTGTGGCAATCCCCTGATCGAACCAGGACTGGGTCATACAATTGTACACACTATTTTTGTATGGTGTTTTGCAGTCGGGTGGGCACATGCAATGTATAAGCAATAATCACACCCTACGACTAGCATTCGAATCATCCGAATCCGCAATACTGAGCCTATTGTTGAAACACGATAGTAGTTGTGATGTACCTTCAAAGTTGTGTTCGACTTTCCAACCCAGCGAGGGATTAGGATATGTAGAGAAGACCCAGTGGTAAAATATCACACACGCAGCACCTTCCTGGTTGCGTTGTTGCTGTATTGCGGGAGTTCCCTGTTAAGATCAATCTTCCAAACATTTTTTTTTTACATCCGCATGTATGCCTATTTAGAATCTCAGTCTAAGCTTATTCGCACTTGAACTATGCCACTCTGCTAGTTGTGATTACTTGAAATCATTAACCTGCAACTGAAAAACTTAAACTTGTAGACACTTGCAGCACCCACCAAATGCATTAGGGCTTCGAATTAACCTTGCCTTTCTATGATGCAGGACTGAGACAGTAGGGTGAAGTAAGACTCGGTGGTGAAATGAATCACAACCCGCACAAGGTAGTCTCGGGCAACTTTAAGCTGCGGGAGTCCTCTGTTCGAACCAGGGCTGGGTCATTCAAAGTTTGATGTGTAACTTTTTTTTTCCCGCCGCGGGCGGAGGATCCCAGCATGCCATTTTTTCTGGGACCTGTGCGTGCCGACCCGCAGTCCGGTACTAATTCTAGCTAAAATTCATCCATGACTTTCAACCATGTCCAATACATGATATAATACTGAGTTACCCTGCCAAGCATGGGGAGAATAAAACTGCACAGAAAAAGACCCGGTGGTGAAATGAATGACACCACAGCACCTGAGACGACTCGCGCTGCTTGCTGTATTGTGGGGGTCCCCTGTTCAAAGCAGGGCTAGGTCATGAGCAGGTCTGCCACCAAAGTTTCTTGTTCCACATCCCCATGTATGTCTATTTAGACCATCTCAGTCTAAGCTTATCCGCACTCGTAGACGCTTGCCAGCACGCACCAAATAAATCATCAGAGGTTCGAATTAAACCTGCCGCTCTAGCTTAGCAAGGACTGAGACAGTAGTATTGATACATCCCACACAGGATGAAGTAAAACTCGGTGGTGAAATGAATCACACCCGCACAAGATATTACGGTGTAGTTAAGCTGCGGGAGTCCCCTGTTCGAAGCAGGGCTGGGTCATTCGTTGCTATATTTCCCGCTTCAGGTCAATGACAGGGCATACCATTTTCGTCTAGAAGTTGTACATGCCGGGGCGGGGTCTCGGTGGTCTTCATGTCCCTTGCTGAAATTCATAACTTTCAACCGTGTGCAATATCTTAAAGTCAGTTGTGATATAATACTTACCTCCAAAGTTGCCAGTCAGGAAGAGAATCAAACTGTACAGAAAAGACCCAGTGGTGAAATAAATCACACCCGCAGCACCCTGAGTCGTTCTACAGAGCTGCATTGCGGTAGTCCCCTGTTCGAACCAGGGCTGGGTCTTGTCAAACCGGCCAACCTGCAGTTTTCCTCTTTTGCTTCATGATCGGGAAAGGGAAAGGGGGAAACACTTGTTATCACACTAAATTACTGTAATTTGCTGCCTTCGCACTCTGTGAGTCATGACGAAGATCCAATCTCAAAAATTTCCAAGTGCGTGGATTTTCGTCGGACTTGCATTTTGCATGATTGCTACGCCAGACCCTATTGTGCCTGTGTTGCCGTGTCAGTCAGAGGGAACTTAGGATATGTACAGAAGACTCGGTGGTGGAAGGAATCACACCCACACAAGGTAGTCGGGGTAGCGCTGTTAAGCTGTGGGAGTCCCCTGTTCGAACCAGGGCTGGGTCATTGGATGTGAGATTTGGCCAACCCTTTTTCACGCTTCAGGCCGAGGATATCATGCAATTTTGTTCTGGAATTCGTACATGGCGGCCCGGGTCCAATACTTCTTGCCAAAATCCATAACTTTCAACTCGGAAAGTCAGTTGTGATTTACTTGTAATGCCTCCACAGTTGCTAGCCAACCAAGAGGAGAATCAACTGTACAGAAAAGACCCAGTAGTGAAATCAATCACACCCGCAGCACCTCGTTCTTTCCCAGTTTTGTATTGCGGGAGTCCCCTGTTCGAAGCAGGGCTGGGTCTTCTGAAGACATCCACGGAATTTCCTCTTTTGCTCCACGGGAACGGTTGTTATTATAATCAATCAACTTGCTGCATTCTCACTCTGTCAGGTGAAGGAAGGTCATGGCAATTCCAATTCCAAAAAGATTGCCAGTGCGTGGATTTTCGACTTGGTCGGACTTGCATTGTGTGCATGATTGCTACGCTAGACCCGATTGTGCCTGTGTTACCGTGTCAGTCAGAGGGAAATTAGAATATGTAGAGAAGACTCAGTGGTGAAATGAATCACATCCGCCACGCATGTAGCTGAATGTACGGAGCTAAACCGCGGGAGTCCCCTGTTCAAACCAGCTGGGTCATTTGAAACAGGGTGCGATTTTTGCTCGTTTCACAGGCGAGGACACCATGTCATTTTCTTCCGGAATTTCTACGTGCCTGTCTCGAGTATAAAACCTCGAGGGTTGCCAACTGAGAGGAGAATGACCCTGCACAGAAAGACCCAGTAGGGAAATAAATCACACCCGCGGGACCTCTCCTTTCACAATTCCTGTATTGCGGGAGTCCCCTGTTCGAACCAGGGCTGGGTCGTTATTGGGATCTCCCTCTTTTTCTTTTTTCATTCTTTTTTCAGAAAGTTGGCGGGTTAAATTTGACATATAAATGGATTGAAACACTTCAATCTCTGCGGCACACACCTCCATCTCTTAAAAGAAATCACTCGGAAGCCGTGGCCATCCACGTCTTGAGCTCAATACTTCTGCAACCAAGGGAGGATCAGATAGAGCTCGAGAAGACCCATTGGTGAAATAAATCACACCCACACGACATAGATGGCTACGAATGATGTCTTGTGGCAATCCCCTGATCGAACCAGGGCTGGGTCATGCAACGGCGAGACACATTATTTTTGAATGGCACAAAGGATAATCACACCCTACGCCCTATCATCCGACTCCGCAATACTGAGCCTCTTGCTTAAACAAGATAGTAGTTGTGATGTACCTTCGAACATCAGTAAAACTACACAGTTGTCTTTGGCATCTTAGGTCTTTGGAACACATCTTTGAGCATCTTTGTCTTGGAGAAGCATCTTTGGTCTTGGGGCAAGAGTCTTAGGAATGTCTTTGTTTTGGGAGTGGCATCCCGAAGCTTTGGGCGGCATCTTTATTCCTTGGCTCATCTTGGGGTTTTTTTTTTTCCTGTACAAAGAATGGTTCAACAAACTGTCTCGAGATTCTTGTTCTGCGGGTTATGCGCACCCGCACGCGGACAATTCCGCAGTCCCGGTGACTTGGAGTTAGCCTGCCGACTCCAGGCTGATAACTTATAAGCTGCTGATTTGCATTCGGGTAAGAGTTTGGAATTTCACTCAAATTTAGGTAGAAGACGAGGGCGGTAGCCAACATAAAAACTTGAAGACTCCGGAAAATTTTCCGACTCGCAACGACTCATGATTACAAGTCATTCAAACTCTGCTTTTGCCGATTGCCGACATCACGGAGATCGTCCGTTGCAAGGGAGATGGCGTGATTGATGAGATCATTTGGTTCGTTGCTCTCAACGCTCATGTCCTTCCCTTCCCCCTTCCCCCCACCTCTTTCATCCCCCCGTCTTGTTTCCCCCTTGGCCTCTTTCAGTGCAGACTTCCCGACCAAATTGGCCCCTCCTCCCGCTCTCGTCATGACCGCAGCCAAGCCACAAGTATCCCTCTCACTGCCAAGTCCTCAAGATTCTCCTCCTCTCGAACTCCTCGTGTCTTTGGTCGCTTTGAATGATCTTGAAGACCGTCTTGTCAAAGACATACGGCATCTTACCCGTCTTACCCAAGACGAACATCTTGTCTAAGACTTTTGAACCTGCTTAGCTAAAGACGCGCGTCTTGCGCCAAAATGTGTCTTTGGCGTCTTACGCGTCTTGCCCAAGACGCCAAAGACGCCAAAGACAACCGTGTAGTTTTACTGATGAAGTTGTGTTCGACTTTCCAACCCAGCGAAGAATTAGGATATGTAGAGAAGACCCAGTGGTGAAATGAATCACGTCCGCAGCACCTGTAAACAATGTCCACGTCTTGTATTGCGGGAGTCCCCTGTTCGAATCGGGGCTGGGTCATAATCTCTTCCAGAAGGTTTTTTTTTTCTTTTTCTTTTTTTGCGTCCGCATGTATGCCTATACACACGCGAACTATGCCATTCTCCAGGGTGCATTTACTTGAAATGACTAACTTGCAACTGAAATCCAACCGAAATGGAGACACTTGCCACTACCCACCGAAAATGCATTACAGGTTCGAATTAAATGGACCCTCTCTATGATAAAGAACTGAGACAGTAGTATCTATATATCCCACACAGGATGAAACAAGACTCGGTTGTGAAATGAATCACGCCCGCACTGTGTCCTTGCACCTTCGCTTTATTGCGGGACTCCCCTGTTCGAAGCAGGGCTGGGTCGTACGACGAGAAGATTTGACAATCCCTTTTGTCCAGCTTCAGGCCGAGGACACAACCATGTCATTTTCTTCTGGAATTTGTGCGTGGCGTCCTGGAGGCTCAGGTATGGATAACTCTCAGCTATAGTATCTGAAAATCACTTGTGATACAATACCTGCAGAGTCGCCAACCCAGCGAAGAATCAAACTGCACAGAAAAGACCCGCTGAAGAATCAAACTGCACAGAAAGACCCAGTGGTGAAGTGAATCCAACCCGTAGCACCTGTTTCCTTCCTGACACATCACTGTATTGCCGGAGTCCCCTGTTCGAACCAGGGCTGAGTATTTGTAATGGTTTGCGATACCTCTTTTGCTCCACGGGGACGGTTATTATTTTAATAAATCGACTTGCTGCATTCTTACTCTGCGAGGCAAAGATCCAATTCCAAAAGATTACCAGTGCGTGGATTTTTTAGTCGGACTTGTGTGTGTTGCCGTGGCAGTCAGACGAAAATTCGGATACGGAGAGAAGACTTTTTTTTTTTTTTTTTTTTTCTTTTTCTGGGTGTTTGGTATAATGATTTAAACTCCGTCTGCAGAAGCATTCCGAGTCATCCGCTTGTTGCTGGTGTTTGCCAGTCATGCCGGTGAAATTTGTCCAGGAGGAAATGCCGTTACGCACTGTATTTATCCAAGTGTGGGGCTCCGACCCGAATTTATCCATTTTACCCAATTCCCTTTGCTGTTACAGCCTTAGGTTGTATACCCACTAAAACCCCCTTTGTAAAGATCCAGTCATCCGGCAAAGAGTCTTCGTCCATTAGCAATCCGCTCCAGGTATTTAACACTGTCTGTTTATTTAGGGCCAGTGTACCGAAGCGTCCTTTGTTGGTCAGTATTCGGTCACGTTGCAAGGCGGCATTGACCATTTTCAGCCATTGATTATGGATGCCTCTAAACGGAGAGAAGACTTGGTGGTGAAGGAATCACACCCGCCACGCATGTAGCTGAATGTACGGAGCTAAACTACGGGAGTCCCCTGTTTGAACCAGGGCTGGGTTATTTGAAAGCGGGGTGCTTTTTTTTCCCGTTTCACAGGCGAGGGTTGCCAGCCCAACAGAGAATTTAAACTGCACAGAAAGACCCAGTAGTGAACTGAATCACACCCGCGGCACCTCTCCTTTCACAATTCCTGTATTGCGGGAGTCCCCTGTTTGAACCAGGGCTGGGTCATTCAATAGCACAATTCCATCCTTTTTCCCCGCTTCAAGCCGAGGACACGACCATGGCATGTTTTTCTGAAATATTTACATGGCGGCCCGGGGTCCACTGCTACTTCTTGCCCATAACCTTCAACGATGTGCGATATCTAAACGTCAGTTGTGAATGTAAATATAATCCGTCGAGAGTTGGCAACCAAGAGGAGAATTAAGTTGCACAGAAAAGACCCAGTAGTGAAATGAATCACACCCGCAGCACCTCATTCTTTTCCCGTGTTGTATTGCGGGAGTCCCCTGTTCGAAGCAGGGCTGGGTCTGAAGGTCTTTTGCTCCACAATCGGAAAAAGGAAAGGGGAAACAGGTTGTTATTATAATAAATCCACTTCCGGCTCTGTGAAGTGAAGGAAGATCCAATTCCAATTCCAACTCCCCAAAATTACCACAGTCAGACTGCGTGAATTTTCGACTTCGTCGCACTTGCATTTTGCATTTCACGGTCAGCCCGCAATTACTACTTACCTCGAGCATCTAGAAACTATCTGTCTGGCTGGTCGCGGCTCGTTGTGTGACGATCTTTGAACATGCCGAAATCACGGCCCAGTTGCGCGCCGAAGATCAATCAATCAATTGGTAAGTATCAGCATCAGCAGTGCCACCCATCATGAGAGCGAACCACCATGCTCGATTCGCCGAACGCGTCCCTCTCGTTCCGGCGCGGTTCGATTCAAGCTGAAGCGCTGAAGATTGAAGACAGTGAATAACGACCGTAACCCCTGGGACTGAAACGTGTGATGGCTCGAAGGAAGAGCATAACGCGTGCTAGCATCTTTGCGGCCGAATTGTCCTGCGTTTCGTGTCTATGCTTCGTCCCCAGGCTCCTCGATCACGACACCAAGGAACCGAATCGAGCGTGCGGATCTGGCTAGTCCCGACTCGGTTCATACGCGCGTACGATTCAAGTCGTTTTTGCGTGTTTCTGTTCTGCGTTCTCATATCTCGATCGCTGTAGATATCATATAGCTGGCTGCCCTTTCTTTTGGCTGTGCGAACTCGCGCACGCACCTTCGTTGGAATACGGCAGATGATGTGAAGTGGGATACGTGCAGTGGGATAGCTCGAGCTGGGTGCGTTGTGAATTAGCTCCGTACATATCGCTTGCTAACCCTGCCCTGCGACTCCAGATCGCCATTCAAGTCCCTACACCCTGCCCAAGCCAAGCCCGGACGGCATATCTTTGCCCCAGGTGCGTCGTACCTATACCCATGATAGCGTTCTCATTTGACCTTCCACAGCTAGCAAGGGCCCGTTACGCGCACCGCCGAATTCGACAACCCAAGGAGACGAATTGGTTGCTTGTAAATCTGGGCGCTCCCGACTTGGACTCGGGTGCGTTCTGTTCTGCGGTGTTGCCTTCGGCGTTCTCATACAGCGATCGCTATAGCCAGCCGCGTCGGCTTTTTTGTTGCTTGGGACGAACACGCCGATGGAACCTCACCGCGAACGAAATCGCGCACTTTTGGGACGAGACTGGGTGCGTTGTATGCTGGCTCCATGCCTACTGCGTTCTAACCCTCGTCGGCTCAGCCGCCGTCGCTATTCTGGTGGACCCAGCAAGATTGGGGTGCTTGATCCGTCCGCTGGCTTGCATCCCTCGCGAACGCAGCCTATAGCTATGCGCTTTTCCGGCTGCCTGCTTTTCGCCATTCGACATTCTACTCGCGTAGGACCCCGCCCATCGTGCTTGATAGCGGCCCGCACCGTACGCCATACGCGTCCTCCGTGTGTTCCGTCCTCCACTGCCGCCCCCTTCGAACCGTGACACGGACGGGCTCCACGCGCGCCCTGTGGGCTCTAGTTCGGCTCGAGCGCATACGCCGAGGCCCCTCGCAATCTCGCCCACTCCGCCCGCACGACACTTCGTTCCACACACCCGATGAATCGATTCCGAACACCCGGATTTTGCCCTAGCGCCGCGACCTCCACGGGCGTCGTACATGCCCTAGGCTCAGCGCGACCTCCATCGACACCAATATTAATGGGAGGTGGGAGTTGCGTCGCACCATATTCGCTAGCCCACAAACGCACTCGACCGCGCCTACCACACTCCACGAAACGAATACCCAGGCCCAGCGCAGGGGTGCGGTGCGACCCCATGCATCCCGCCACGCCCACACAGCGTCTGAGTCGCATCGTATCCCCACGCGACGCCTTCCTGCCCGATACCTGATACGCTCGCTGCGCCACCGAGCGGCACTTCAGCTATTCCACCACCAACGCGGCGGGCGGCGTGTCGACCCACGAGCAGCGCCCAATCACCCCCCGCGCGCACGCGTTTCGTCGGCTCGTACAGGGCGGCGTCCCGACTTGGGCTTTCGTTGTCAAAAGGGGAGATATTTCGGGGCTCCTGAGGTTCTCGTGCTGTTGCCCGTGGTGCGTACCCAGCGCTCTTACCAGGCTGCCTCGCTAATTGTCTTCGGCGGGGGAAGAACGGCGCGTTCCGATAGGATCTTCGCGTGTAATACGAATGAGCTGGCGTACCCCGCCTTCTGCGCTAGGCAACAAATCGACTCCAACCTCTTTCTTCCCCCGAGCGGCTCATCCCCGTCCTCTTCCCCGTGTTCCGCATCCTCGCTCCCTGTCCGACCACTGGCTGCCCGCTGACGGCTTCTATCCGTATGCGTACTTGCGCCCAATTTCCCCACCCTCGAACGACGTGGCCTCATCAGCGCGGCCGAGGACCCCTGCGTGCCCACCTATGCCGATCCTCTCCGCTTCTCTGTCCTTCTGGCCCAATCTTCGTCGCGAGTCATTGGCGCTAGGGTTAGGGTTGGGATACCGTTTGGGGCTCACCCCGCATTTGCTCCGCACACGCCCTACCTTCGACCGCCTTTCTTCCTCGAGGTCGTTTCGGCTAGCATCGCGCAGGATTTCGTCCGCCGAGTACGAATTTCGCGCCACTGCCCGAGTGGGTGCTGCTCAGTTCGGTTCATCGCCTCATTCATGCCTCATGTACATGTATAGGACCCGTTCTCATGCGCGATTTCAGATTATTCTGACTTCTGGAGTTCGCCTGACACCACGTATCTCCGACCGACCGACTCAGAACGCTACTTTCCGACACCGTCCGGCGTCCGTCGTGTGTCCGAACTTTGAGCTTCATCCTTGTTACTGCCAAGTTACTGCGTTTGAGATGGGGTTTTTGGGGCACAGCCCCTATCTTTGTGGTTTTGGACGCATATTTAAATGACCACCCTTACAGTAATGATTACGACGTCGACCATCGTCTCGAATTCTCATAGCTGTGTGCAGCTCTCCTCGTTGACGATCCAATGATATTTTTCTCCCTGGCAACCAGATCCATTTCCCCGCATGGGAAACACCACGCCACTGTGTCTTGGTCGATGAATATTCTCGAGCGCGTCCGCAGGCGCCTATCTACCTTCATCCTCTCATTTCCACC